TGGTGGGCTGTAGCAGGTGGGTAAGGCCTCCCTCTGCAGGGTGCGCTCAATTACATGATCACCCTGCAAAGGGAGGCCCAGGCCACTGGCTGGCAGGCTGTGGCGGCTGGGCAGGGTCTCCCTCTGCAAGGGCAATCCATCGCAGGGCTCCCAGACTGTGAGAAGGCACAGTCTGGGCTGAGGAACCTCCTACCCCAATTGCTCGAATTTCATGCACCAGGCCTCTAGTCTATTATAATCATTGATATAAATGTGTTTAAAGTAACAGTTTACTACTTGTTTTCCTATTTATTTCTTATCTCTGTTGATTTCCCCTGACTTTTTTTCTGTTAACAACTTTTAAAGAGTTTCATTTTATGCCTTATATTCTCATATGTATCTCTTCCCATGCTTTAGTGGTTGCTCTGAGGCTAACAATATGCATCCTCGATGGCTCTACATTGGGTCAATACTGTAACTACTCATCAAACCTGACACTACAAACTTCTTCCCCTATTTCAGAAATGTCATAACCATACAATAGTGTAATTAGATTTACCTGCCCTTGTCTTTTGTATAACTATTGTTTTAAGCAAATTAAAGGGGGAAAGATAGTATTTCATGTTTGTTCAGCTATTCATTGTTTCCGCTTTGCAGATGTAAGTTTTCATCTCATATCCTTCCCCATCAGCTAATATGCCATTGCTGGCATGTTCGTAGTAGAACAGTTCTGCTGGCACCATGTTCTCTCAGTTTTCAAGGTCTCATTATGACTTTATTTCCTTTAACATCCTTGCTTAAAAGGTTATTTTCACTGGATATGAGTTGACAGTTTTTCCCCTTCCTTTTAGGACATTAAAGATGTCTTTCCATTGTTTTATGGCTTCTTGTGTCTTCATAATCTTTTCTCATACTAGAGACCTGGTGCACGAATTTGTGCACAGATGGGGGTCCCTCTGCGAGGCCTATGGGGATTGGACTAAAACTGGCAGTCCAACACAGCACGCCACTCCTGCCTGCTGCTCCTTATTCCAGCCCCACTGCGCCTGCCACGTGCTCGCACCCAGCTAGTCCTGATGGGGAGAGGCTCGTGTTGCCATAGTGGCACTTGCCAGCCATGAACCCTGCATCTGGCACCTGTCCCGAGAGGGATGGGGCAGCTGAGATGCAATTGACCCTCCTGATAGGCAGTGGGATCCAGATTAGTCCCGCTGACGTTCATGCTGGTTGTCAGGAGTCATCTGGTGGCCGCTTTTATATCATTTCTTCCTTGCAGAAAGTCTAGGAAGGAGAAGCAGCTGTAGTGCCCAACTTCCAGGAAGCTGGTGGCGCTGTCAGGATCATGCTGGGAGTGCCAGTCCATCAGTGCCTGGCCTGTTCTCTGGAGATTGGACCTGCAGGACTACTGAGAGAGTGAGTTGCTGCCGCTGGCTGGTGAGCCACTGGAAAAGTGGTCACCTGAGCAGCACTCCCACTGTGGGAGCACACTGACCATCAGGGGCAGCTCCTGTATTGAGTGCCCCTTGGTGGCCAGTGCACATGATAGCAACAGGTCGACCAGTCGTTCAGTCGCTTAGACTTTTATATATATAGATAACTCATAATCATATATCTCATATGAAGATATGAGCAATTAATCATAATTATTCTCCAGACTATAATGTATCTGTTTTCTTCTGATGACTTTTAAGATTTCCTCTTAATCTTTGGATTTCACAGCACTCTGACTTCTGTGAATTTTAGTTTTAATTCTTTTTAGACTTATCTTGTTTGGGGTTCATTGAATTTCTGAATCTGTATGTGGTTATTACATCAATCTAAGAAGTTTTTGACTCTCGTTTCTTCAGTTTTTCTGCCCTTTTCTCACACTCTCTTCCTTCTTAGATTCCAATTACAATTATGTTAACACTGTTTCACAAATACTTGAGGCTCTGTTAACTTTAATCATCTGTTTTTCTGTTCATAAGTTTGGTTCACTTCTCTTGATTTCAAAGTTCAAAGACTAGCTTTTTATCCATCTGATGTTAAACTAATCCAGTGCCATTCCATTTCAGTATTATACTTTTCAGTTTTAGCGTTTCCATTAATTTTAAAAAATATTTCCCTTTCTCTGCTCAACTTAAGTAATAAGAATATTTTTCTTTACTTTTTTGAAATATTTTCACTTGATTCCCTGAATAAATCTTTTATAATCATATTTGAAAACCCCATCTTCCTCTATACCAAACACATACCCAAGTATTTTTCAACAGAAATGTAATGGGAGCCTCAGACATAATTTTAAAACTTCTAGCAGCCACATTTTAAAATACATGAACAGATACAACTAACTTAAATATATATTTAACATAAAAGATACAAAATATTGTTTCAACATGTAATAAATATAGAAGTTAATGAAATATATTCCAGTCATATTCTCAATATAAACTCTTCAAAATCTATATTTCATGCTTATAGCAAATACAATTGAGACCATCAATACTGTGTTCTTGACAGTGGGTTAGTGGCAACAGAGAGCAAACTGAGCCATCTCATGTTGGTTTTCTATTGATTCCTTTTTCCATGACCATAGCTTAAACCTCCTATTTCTTTGCATACCTACTGATTATTTATTGAATACTATTAATAGATACTATGGGTGGTATGTTGAGGAAACTCTGAATTCTACCTTACTCTGAAGCCTTGACTTTTACTTTAGCATTTATTTCGATTATTGGTTTATTCTCTTGACCTTGAACAGACATGGAGCTATTTTTTGCCAAGATGGATCTGTGGGAAGCTTCAGCCTCTTGATATCCCATGCACTTGGATCTCAGCCCTCCTCAACTTAGCAGGATGGCCATAGAGATTTCTCAGGCTCCAATCTCTGTGCCACAGCCTAAAAATTTTCCTAAGGCAGAGAACTGGACTCGTGGAGCTCACTTCATGGGATTCTTTGCTCTCAGTTCAGTCCTATGCTGCTTGAGATCCACAAAGTGTAATGATCCTAATAAGATCTTTTCCAGACACTATGTCATTGGTCAGCAACCACTCATTTCATGCAGAGAATATAAACTGCAAGACTATTCCTTTCAGAGCAGTTGTCATGAAATGAGTTCTAACCAGTTACCAGCTACCAAAAAGAGGAAAAATGAGCCAAGATTCTGTTCAAACAAGTATGGTTATAAATAGGCATTTATGACTGTATACAATTATTTCATGTGACATTATCACTGGAACTCCTGAATAACAGTTTACAAAATCTATTATACGGTGTACATGAAAATCCTAGTCAAATAATTAAATGCGAATGTTACACCCAAAACAACATGACTGATAATGTCCTTTATGTTTTGCCAAGGCATTTCTACAAGATTTGCTTTCTGAAAGTTCTGGCTTTCATCATGTATGACACTAACATTTCTGAAGATGCATTTAACACAAAGAAAAGCACATACATGAATAATCACATAAGTTCTTGCATTTTTAAACTCAATATTTCTCATAAAAAGTAGTTCAGAAATATGTCCATTTCCCAGAATATTGCCTAGTTCCAAACATTTGGTAAAAAAATATTTTAAGCTGGAAAAATTATATTTTAAGTTGTTCTGTTGGTAAACCCATTTTGTTTGTTGTACAAATAACATATAAAACTAAACATTTCCACTCCATTGTAAATTTTTGGCAAATTATAATGAACTAAATAAACAGAATTGAACATGTTAATTATGCTGATTTTTAAATAGTCCCAAATTACATTGAGGCTCAGCATAAAGAAACAAAGGAAAGTAAGTAAATTGGCCAAAACATTTTTGCCAAGGACACTATTGTTGAGATGAAGAACATTTATTGGACTATTTTTGAAACAATGACTAAGGAATACACTATTTATATGTTTTGTGTTATAAAGCCCAAGACTTTCACCTTTAACTGCATGCAAAGTTGAATACTTAAGAGCTGTTTGGAGAATTACTGAAGATACTTGATCACATCTCTGAGTTGAAGTGGGAGCTTCATTACCCTCACTGGTTGGGTAATGAAGGGTTAAACCTCAAAGACCCCCCCCCCAAAAAAAAAGTGTTGTATATGTTTAGCTATTCTTATTGCACTTTAAGTTTCTCTTGTGAACAAAGATAGTGGCATTCAAAACTGTATAAAGTAGTGTGCAAGGTAACTTAGGTGTGTAGAAAAGAAACTTAGGTTTGGCAGCAATGACATGAATAATGCTAGAACCAAAATCACAGAAAAACAAACAAACATCACGTAGATGAGGCTCAATTCTTCATGCTTATAATAGATAACATGGATGATTTAACTGTGAGTCATTTTGGTTTTGTAGCTCATGAGCTATAGACTATAATTATTTGAGTAGAGTGAAACACAGAACTTAAGTAGTTACATAAAATTCAAGACTAAGTAAAAATAGTATTAAAATCATAAATGTAAATGGGATATAACCTTCAACCATAGATCAGGAGACTATGAACTAAACCAGCCCTCTACTAATTTTTATAAATAAAGTTTTATTGGTATACAACCATACCCATTCATGAGGGCCCACAAAGACCAAAATACTGTCTGCAGTTTAAGGAAAAGTTTGATGACCCCCCAAAAAAATTCAAGAGCCTAAATTTTTCAATTCATTTGGTTTCTTAATACAAAATTACAACATACTTATGTTTTAAAGACTTGAGAATATGTACATACCAGTCTAAACAAGAAAAGTGCATGTTCAGTTAGAACTACGGATACTTTTGCTATACCAAGTATTAAATAAAATTTTATAAGACTAAGTTTTTCATACTTATAAGTCTTGATGAAAAGTTTAAAATACATATTTATATAGATACACACAAAAGTATGGTAAATTTCCCTCCAAATTTCATTTAGAATATATATGCTGTTTCCAGACCTGGTGGTCACAAAATCTGAATTAGAGCACCATTATTTTGAAAGCTAGAAAGACTGTGATTGCAAGGCTGGCAATGAATTAATTCTAAGGCATGCTCGCCATTCTAAGCCGTGGGCCTGCTGCTCACCTGGAGGTGTGTAGGCATCCATCGAGGTCTGCACAACCAAGGACCTGCGTTTGGAAGGCATAGGCACTGCCATCTTCCTTTCTTTGTGTTTCGCAAGCGCTGCCTGAACAGCTTCTGTGTGGACGTCTAAAACAAGAAGAGAGCTCAATTACTCCATTGTTCGGGGATGTCCTGAAAGCCCATGCTTTTTCTCCTCTCTCTCTGGTCCTGTGGAGTAGTTTCTGAATGGGTGGGGAAGAAAGGGAAAATTTGAACTTGCCAGCTTAAAAGCTCCAGTAAGACGACTTGTAAATTCATTTGTAGACTATTTTTTTTATAAATATATTTTATTGATTTTTTTATAGAGAGGAAGGGAGAGAGATAGAGAGAGACATCCATGAGAGAGAAACATTGACTAGCTGCTTCCTGCACACCCCCTACCAGAATCGAACCCGGGACCTTTCAGTCCGCAGACCGACGCTCTACCACTGAGCCAAACCGGTTTCGGCTGTAGATTTTTAATTATTCATTTTATTACCCTGAATTCTGTATAAATAAATATGTGCTGGCTGCAAATTTATGTGTGATTTTTATTTTCTTAGGGTGAGTGGACTTGACCTTCAGATATTTCTTCACATTTTCAAGCCTCGTAATTTATTTCAGTTAAAGAGAGGTATGTACACCCTACTGGTAGTCAGTAATGATTTAGCTAACACGTACCAAGAACTCAGAACTGTGTCAGGTGTTCTGTGTATGTTAACTTACTATATTAACTCCACAAATATTTACTGGCTGCCTGCTTTATAAGGTCATATCCTCGGGGCAGGAGTGGTGAAGAATCAGGCTGAAGAGGTGCTATGAATCACGCAGCTTACAGTTTTGTTTTGTTTTTAAAAAATCCTCACCCTGTATATGTTTTTTTTATTGATTTTAAAGAGAGAGAAAGGGGGAGAGACAGAGGCAGAGACAGAGAAACATCAATGAGAGAAACACCGATCGGTTGTCTTCCGTACGTGTCCTGACCAGGATCGAACCCACAACCACTTGTTGTAAGGAACGACACTCCAACCAACTGAGCTTACTTTCCATCGGGTGAAACAGACCATTGACAAGTGGTCAGAGAATTAAAACAGGGAAAACAAATTGACTGAGTGGCTACTTCACTGTGAGGCCAGGGAAGAGTGTTCTCATTGAAATCTGAACAGTAAGAACAAACCAGCCACTCTGTCAGGATGAGGAGAGAAGGCCCAGGAAGAAGGGAAACCCACTGAAAGGCCCTAACCCCTGAGAGTGAGGATAGTGTTGGCAGAACAAACAGGACCCTGGGAGAGGGGTGCACAGTAGGGTCAGGGCTCCAATGCTAAATCAGACAGGGAACACTGGGGATCCTGAGAAATGAGATGATCTGGTTCAGTTTTGATGGGATCATTCTGGCTGCTGTGAAGAAGGCTGCAGAAGGAGAGTGACAAGAAGGCAGCAGTCTGGTGAGACACAACCACAATCACAACATACACGACCGTACAGAGGAGAGGCTCTCAATATTTCCATGTCACAGAGGAGCAAGTGGAAGTAAGCAGCTCTAACAGATTATCAAACTGGTGAGTGACATTGCCAGGATTTGAACCCAGTGTGTGAGTACCCCTGGGGCCCAGGCCCTTCACCAAGGACCATATTGTATTCCTGCAGTTCCTATGAAAAGACCACCCTGTAAACATGCTAGATAGAGCAGGGGTCAGCCAACCACCACCTGTGGGACATACAGCCTGCCTCCCCTTTGTGTAAATAATGTTTTATTGGAACAAAGCACACCCTTCCTGTACATACACACACTGTCTGCTTCCCCACTGTATGTGACAGAGACATGATGGCCCAGAAAGCTGAAAATACCGGTTATCTGGCCCTTTACAGAAACCATTCGCCAGCCCCGAATGGAGTACATCAGGTACTAAACACAATGAACATGTTCTGCTATACTTTGTTCAGCTTGTGTGTGCACCACTCTTTTCTCCTCAACCAGACTCCAAGTACTTGGAGGCAAAAAAACTGAGTTTCAAATCACTCTTTCTTAAACTCACAAACTAAAAACTGATGAGTGAATTATTTGGATTCATGACCTAAAACTAAAGAGCTCATCTATGAGGAGGGGAATACATGAATTCTTCACACATCAAACATTTTCAGTTTCATATGACCCCACTTATAAATTTTTTTGGATATAATTAAAAATTTACATTTGCTTTTGGGATAGATTAAAATTGCCACGATCTGATGAGGGGGAATTTATTTGTGCCCTCCTCCTATATGAAATGGCGAAACAGAAAAAAAAAATTACAAAAAATATGCAAGAACAGTACAGAGAACTCCCCTAAAGTTTTACCCACATTCACAATAGTTTACATTTACCTCATCACTTTCTATGTGTTGTTTTTTTGCTAATTATGTTGAAAATAAATTACAGATACCATTCTCCCCATACCTATTTTTAAAATATATTTTATTGATTTTTTTTTTTTACAGAGAGGAAGGGAGAGGGAGAGTTAGAAACATCAATCAGCTGCCTCCTGCACACCCCCTACTAGGGATGTGCTCGCAATCAAGATATATGCCCTTGACCAGGATCAAACCTGGGACTCTTGAGTCCACAGGCTAACACTCTATCCATTGAGCAAACTGGTCAGGATATACCTAAATATTTTAATGTACTTCCTAAGGACAAAGACATTCTCTTGAAAATTCTCAGAATCAAGAGACTGAACAAATATAGTGCTACATATAGTACTATTATCTAATCTAAAGTCCATGTTCAAATGGTGCCAATGGTCCCAGGAACTGCTTCCACGGTTTTGTCTATTGGTCTCCTGGAGGTACACACAGTTCCAGGGTTCCCCAATAATCCGAATGGAATTTATACACAGATATGGGGGCTCCCTGCATCGTGGCTCACTCTTACCCAGATCCCCCTTTTAATGCCCAGCTGTTCTCACAGCCCCAAAGTCTTGCTTCGGACACAGTAAGCCAGTAACACCACGGCTTGCAGCTTGGGTTTGAAAAGTTCCATACGAAGGCATTTGGAGAACACCTTCCTGGCAAAAAGCCAAATAAATATGAACCTCCTTCTGCTCTGCCCTGCCTTCACATGGTCCTTCCACTTCTGTCTATGTTTAGGAGTTGCTCTCCAGTGCATTCACCTCATTATTGTTAACATTGTGTCTTGGGGTTATCATCGTACTATGTGGGAGGGTTGGTTTGAAACCAACTTCAGAACCAGATCCTACAACCTTACATCAGTTTTATAAATATATTACAGAATTTAGTAAGATTATTCAAGTCAAGTAAAATATAAATTCTAAACCCACTTTATAATCATCTTAATGGAAGAGTCTCACCTAAATTAAATGAAATTTTAAATTTGTGACATCAGTAAAAAACAAGATAGGGAACATCTAAAGCTAATAGAGAAGAATAGCTCATACCATCACTTGACCATTCCCCCCAAAAGAAAACTATTTAAAACAATTCACTTCCAAAATTTGGAGTAAATGTCACAAATTTCAGGATTATGTTGCCGTTGTGCTTTATTAAACTATTTTAAGTTAAACTGTTTAAGAAGTTGTTAAAACTGAAGTTTCCCTACAGACATTCACTATGACTACAAGTCTCAGCTCAGTTGCTTTAAGATAATATTTTCAGTTATGAGTTTTCTTAAGGGAAATAATTAATATAATATTATATTTGATCCAGTTTTTACACAAAATTTCTTCCTCTGGTTAGTTAATAGCCAATGAGATGCAAATCAGCCAACAACTACTCAGCTGATCTCCCATGAATCTGGGATGAGTTCATCTGAGTTACAAATAAAACGAAGAATCAGTGATGAGAAGAGAGAGGTAAGATGCAGCCTCATTATTTTTACTTTTAGACAGCTTTGGCACTACTAGCAATTTCTGTTTGGAAAAACAAAATCAGCATACACACTAATCTTAGGCAAATCATTAAACTTCTGGAGAAACACCCATAATATAAAGGAGTTATATTTAATGACCAAACTATTTTTTTTTTAAGGCAACTCTCTGTTCCATTTTAATCACTGCAGGTATTTTGTAAAAATTCTACAGGGTTCCAAAAATTCCAGGGAAATGCAATCAGATTCTACAACAAAAACAAAGGGCAATTATTAAACAGAGCCAATGACCTACTCAGTCCTGGAAGGGGTCTCGTTCCCCTCTTTGCAGCACTGAAAGGCATCCGTGCCTGCTTCCTCCCCGATGGTGGCAAATGAAAGCCACTGGCTGCCACTCTCCTTGTCCTCACTATCATGTTAGGAGCAGGGACACACCACCGCACACATTCTCCTTTTATCCTCAGTGCCTAGAACAGTAATTTGCCCTCTCCTGCTTAAAACAAAATAAATATTACCACTGCAAATGATACCCACTCTTTCTTAAATAAAATTTTAAGAAGTTGTGCATCCTCTTTATATAGTTTTTCTTCTTTTGCTTCAAACTTGGTATTCTCTTTTTCTTATTTCCTAATGATCATGATTTGGTCCTTATAATTAAAACTAGAGGCCTGGTACATGAAATTCATGTAGAGCATCCTCTCCAATCTGGGACCCCTTGGGATCGGGCCCTAAACTAGCAGCCGGACATCCCTCTCACGATCCTAGACCAGTGGCTCCTCATAGCTCACCTGCCTGCCTGCCTGGTCGCCCTTAACTGCTCACCCCATCCCTGCTGGCCTGATCGCCCCTCACTGCCTCTTGAGTGCCAGCCTGATCACCTCTAACTGCCCCCCCACAACCAGCCTGGTTGCCCCTAATTGACCCCCGCTGCCAGCCAGGTTGCCCCCAACTGTCCCCTCCCTGCCAGCCTGGTTGCTCCCAACTACGCCCCCTTGCCAGCCTGGTCAGCCCTTATTGCCACCCCTGCTAGGCTAGTCACCCCAAACTGCCCCACTGCCAGCCTGGTCACTCTACACAGCCTGCTGTTCAGTTGTTTAGTCGTCTCTCGCTAACCCCCTGCTGGCCTGGTCATAGGCAGCGATCTTGTGAGGGCATGATGGTCAATTTGCATATTACCTACTTATTATATAGGATGCTTGTGTTAATTTTATTTAAAAAAAAAAAAACAACTGAATGAATGATGCCA